ATATTAGGATGCATTTCAGTTCCACTTTTACCTATAATTGTCACATTGAATGTGCAGTTCCCTGTATTTTCTGATGAGTCTGTTGCTGTAGCTGTAACTTGTGTTTTACCAATAGAAAAACTAACTCCAGGCTGAATAGTATAACTTATGTCATACGATTGACTATTTTCGATTACTGTTATACTGTATTCATCTATAATACCAAAGGCGGTTTCTGGTATTGTGGTATTCATCACATCAAAACACTGCAATATCGGATCCATATCATCTGTAAGAAATAATAGAAAGATATTTTGGCTCACAATAGACATAAGTAACAGTTTCAACATGGTTGTCTTATTGATTTGATTACAGATGAATTGGTTTATACTGAGCATTTTTATTTGAACACCTTTCAAGATATCTAGATAGGCCTAACCCAAATATTAAAGCCTATTTAAAATTTATAGTTCTATAGAAATTAAATAGTTAATTCTTCAATGGAAAATGGCTTTATTTTTATAGTATTTTTACTGGATTTCTGTGCACGCTATTAGATACGTAACATAATAACGAATAATCAACATAAATAGAGAAATCCAACAGCAACAAGTAATGGGCTAAGTGAAATTTATTAAACGTCAACATAGAAACAAAGGAAGTTTAACAACTTATTGAATACAGTCGCTTCATTTAACAGTGGTTTAAACAAATTATTTCTTATACAAAATATGCAGAAGTCCCTTATTCATTAATTACTTTAAGGCACACATTTATATTTTGTTTTCTTATTTAATTTGAACTCTGGTCCATTCAGGGTTGGGAGCCTTGTATAGTAAAATTAAACATTTTTTCAATTCAATTCATCTATATTTCAAATTGAATCATTAAGATACATTTTAACATACGAATAATTAATACATAACAATTATAATAAATAAAATGATTAATTTATAAGAAATTGGAAAAAGGCATACAAAAACAAGTAAAAACTTTAAATTTAACCTCTAACCTAAAGGTACATATCAAGTTCATATAGAATGTATTTGATTTGACTTTGTGCTTACCTATGACCGTTATAGTAAACGAACAGACTGCTACATTTCCTGATGAATCTACAGCCATATACTCAATATCTGTTTCACCAATTTCATATTGGTCATTAGGGTTAACTCCTGTTACAGTTACAGTGGGCATAACCTCTGAATTATCGATAAATGTAACTTCAGTAAAGTTTACTGTAGCGTTTGAAGATCCGAAGTCGGTTGTTTGCGATATATTGCTCGGGCAGTCAATCGCAATTGGTGGCTGATTGTCTGAATATTTGAAAGTAAGGAGCATAGTAAAGAGGCAACATGGAAAATTATTTCCAAAAACATCTAATAAAACTTGTTTCTATATAACACTTATGGTTATATGATAGATGTTTATGGTACATAAATAAAAATGCATATAAAAAAAAAATTCTTTTATAAATAAGCCTAATACAATTGAACTTTTGGAAATATTAATCAACTGATTATTATCACAGCGCATTCAGAAATACGCCCATTAATAACACATTTCATAGTGTAGTTTAGCTACAGTCAATTCATAGTAAAGTGCACTAATTTTGGTAATTAACACTTAAATTATTTTAAAATAGCACTTGTTATAAAATAGTACACATACATAGAATTAATTCCTACCTGTAACATTAACAGTGTATTCGCATGTAGCAGTGTTACCACTCATATCTGTTCCATTAACTACTATCACAGTGATACCCAGGGGAAGGTCGGATTGCGAGTAAATGTTCTGTGTTACATCAACAGGCTCACCAGAATTGTCTTCAAAGGTAATTGTCGGCAAGGTGACGTTAATTGCTTTCGACTCGTTGGTGCTTGCACTAAAACTGATGTCAACAGTACAATTTGTTGTTGGATCTTCATTATCTGAAATTAACCCATCACAAAAACAATAATAAGTGGGTTTATTTATGACAACACATGCTAGATTTTTTTTTAGTTTACTACTGACTTCAAACATAAATTATAAGAATATTACTAGTACTATATCATTCTATTAGCAGAAAGTAATATTAACATACCTATAACAGTGACATTAAATGTGCACACTGCTGTATTTGAACTATTATCTGTAAAAATGTACATGACTAAATGCGGAGAGCCTGTGAGACTAAACATGCTTCCATTTGGATGTGTCTGATACGAAATCTCCACTGTGCCTGAGTTATCATATGCTGTTGGTTCTCGCCATGTTGCAATTGCATAATCTTTTCCAGTCTCCGTATTTACTTCAAAATCGCCAGGGCAGTATGTCACGTTTGGACCTTGTTCATCTGAAAATAAATACATAACCATGATAAAATACAACTTTTAACAGAATCAACAGGACAGTTTCGTACATTTCTATCTCTCTTACTCTCCTCTCTTAGCCCTATGCCTTTCAATCTCTCTTTGTTTCTCTCTTTATCTTTATATAAAATAAAACATCTAAACAAACCTGTAATGGTGACATAAAAACTGCAAGTGTCTATGTTTCCTGACTGGTCCGTTGCTGTTATGAAAAATCCCTGAATGCCTATACCAATTTGATTTCCAGATTCGGGATCAGAAGTGAAGATCGTTGGTGGTAACCCATCATTATCTTCTGCGCTGACATTATATACAGCAATAGCATACGCCTGGTCAGGTTCAGTCGTGAGACTGAAATTTGACGAACATGATATTGTGGGATTTTCTTCGTCTAAAATGTAAATGAAATAAGGTAAATTATAATTTGTACAAAGTAAGTATTAGTTTAAAAGCGTGTAGTAACGTGTAACAGTAGTACAGGTAGTTCCCTTTTAATAAGGGTGTCCTCTGAATTGGAGTAGCCATATTTAGGGCACACTAATTACAAATGTAAAATTGACCCAGTAATGTGCTTTTCGACATAGAATCTTTACGATTGCATTTGATTGACATAAAAACCAAGTTATAAATGAATTGATATTTCAGGTCCATCGTGGACTTCAAACGTCTATCCTTTGGGTAATTAGGCCTAAGTTTGTTTTTTTAAGCTAAAGTTAAGCTATTATAATATAAATATTATAAAACACTTATACATTGATCATGATTAAGTGCTTTTAAGCAATGACCAAATATACTGTATTCTTATAATAGCTTTCTATTGGATTCCTGCCATATTCTTACCTTTAATTGTTACATTGAATATGCATGTTGCAGTATTGTTTGATTGATCAGTAAAGGTGTACGTGACTTCAGTGGTCCCAATACTGAATCCATCATATGGCTCATGTGTACTCATTGTTGAAAACCATCCATTATTATCACTTACAATTGGCAATTCCCAGCTAACATTTTGATACGGCAGTCCCAAAGCTGTAGTATTTTCCAGACTAACAGGGCAAAAACTTACATTGGGTGATTCGAAATCTAAAAAAAAAATCCATTATTTGTTAAGCCATGCCATAAGAAACCGAGCAAATAAAAGCATTGAAAGGGTATACAGTTACATTGGGTGATTGGAAATTTAAAAAAATTAATAATAATAATAAATAAGTTTATAATAATTCATTGAAGCTGCACTTTAGTAACAGTGGCACCTCATCACAGTTCTGAGGTGCATTCAATACAAAACAATTACAAACATTAAATAGGTAAGATCATTTCATGCAAAATTTGCTGGATCAATTAACATTTATATTAAGATAGGGAAAAAAAATGCCAAAAAACTTTTAAAAATGCTAAAAATGTTAAGATTTTGCTTTTATCTTTAAAATGTGGCTAAAGGTTAATAAAATTGGACGGAAACACATAATATTAAAAACAATCAAAAACATTTAAAATATTCAGAAAGCCAGATGCAGGATCAATTAAGACATTCATTATTTAAATACTAAAAAATGATAAAATGCTTTAAAAGTGCTAAAAAGTTGTTTGCTTGATTCTTTCAAATGTGGTTTACAAAGTTATTAAAATTGGACAGATACACACATAATTTTTATTTATAATAAAGAAAAATTAAAAAGACTTATAGAGTAAAATTACAGATCATATATCTTAATAATAAATCCATTTTCAGACTATTTAAAATTATCTTCTAACTGTGACAGAATATGAACTTTGACAAAAAAAACTCTGTGATTTGGTGATTCAACTGTAATACGTTAATATTATAAAATGATAAATTACCGTTAATTGTAACTGTAAATGAACACGATGCCTGGTTGCCAGATTCGTCAGTAAAATTGTATACAATTTCATGAATGCCAGTAGTTAAATCTACTGGTTGCATGTGAGAAAAAGCCACAATAACGTTTTTGAATGAATTGTCATCGTATGTTGGTGCTTGCCAGGTAACCGAAGCATAATCGACGCCAGGTAATGTGTTCTCGCTTATATCATTAGAACAGTTGTAAGTAGGAGGTTCTATATCTAGAAACAAGAAGATCCAGCCGTATATTACACAATGCATCATTTCAAATATGTATGGATTAGTTTATCCTTTAATGCCAGTTATGTAAATTTTGAAAAGCAAAAATATGTAGACACATACCAAGGATAGTAACGGTGAAATTGCATGTTCCTACATTTCCTGACTCGTCTGTTACTGTATAAACTACAGTTGTAACTCCAATGTAAAATGTATCTCCGCTATCATGCGTTGACTCTGATAATAAAGATGCTGTGTTGGTATTATCGCTGTAGTTAGGTTCTGCCCAGGATACTGATGTCGAATTTACTGATGGATCAGTTTCATTTACTATAGCACTTGGACAGTTCATAATAACTGGAGATTCCTCATCTACAAAATAAACATGTGTTGAATAATACCTTTACCTAAAACTAAATTGTTTAAACTGAATGACAAAGTCAATCGAGAATAAATTGTTTACATACGTTACACATACCTAACAAAAAAGTTAGGAAAGACGATGACCACATTTATAAATTTAAAAATTCAATAACAATGGAATAAATTCAATTCAATTCAAAATAACATTTATTTGCTTCCTTTTCAAATTCAATCAAACCCCAAAAAAAATACTTATTTAGTAATAAATACCTATAATGTGAATTGCAAATGTGCATGTCGCTGTGTTTCCTGAACCGTCAGTTGCAATGTATGTGAGAATCCGAGGAGCTCCTAAGGTAAATGTATTGCCTGAAGTTGGATCGCCATCTGCTAATGTTACAGTTGGAACATCCTGACTATTATCTGTAGCAGTCGGTGTAATCCATGTTACTAGCCTTCCAACTGAACCTTGCTCGGCTGGTAGAGTTTGGTTGTCAGGGCAAGTAATTTCTGGGTCTTCCACATCTAGAATTGATACAAACATACATGTCCTTTTGATTTTTAACAACACTTCTTCTCAAAAAATCATTATTGTACTATTACTATTATTATTATTTTTATTATTATTATTATTATTATTATTGGAACTATATTTTCTACTGGTAAGTGTCAAATTCTAAAGCATGCTAGTAAATAAAAAGTAATATAATGCAATGTAATGGGAAGTGTCATGTTGCAAAATACGCTAAGGTCCCAATGCACTTTAAGAATAATTAAATAATAATAAAAAATAAAAAGTATACAAGTAATAAGAAAACCTGCTAAAATTATCACCCTATAGGAATGTAGGCCTACTAATGTATTCAGTTTTATATAACTTATCATATGCAAAACAAGGCCTTTGCAGGAAATATTACTACTAAACTCATGGTAGAAAAGCACAAAAGTACACATACTCAGCTCCCTGGGAGAAAATGTTATCATATTGTAGTGTGTTTATCAGCGAATTGGCATTTAATCTAATTATAAACTTTTATTACTGGGTGCAGAAACTAACAATTACCATAATAACCCAGGAAAGGACATAATATCGAAAATGAAGAAAAATACCTTTGTTCACTACACATTTAAGAAAGCCAGCATGCAATTATTAGTCGACACATAATTTACAAATGCATCAATCATTTTGGTAGTTATCTAGTATCGTTTGCACTACACTAAAATTATGACTACAGATATTGAAGAAGCATTGGATTTAGTAACACTTGACTATGTTCACTAGAAATGAAACATTGGCCTTTAATAATAATAATAATAATTCTGGATTTATATAGTGCCTCACGTTGACACAGCCTCGAGGTGCTTAACAACAACAGAGAAGAAAAAACCAAAACAAATGCAAATGTACCAAATAAATTATTATCAAATGAATGAAATTATTATTATTATTATTATTATTATTATTATTAATTTTATTATTATTATTATTATTGTCCTTGTTAACATTACCTGTAACATTCACAGAAAACCGGCAAACAGCAATGTTGCCAAATTGGTCTGTACCATTCACCACTACATACGTTATTCCTATCGGGAAATCGTACGGTGATTTTACGTTTTGTGTAACATCAACTGCAAGCCCTGAATTGTCTTCAAAGACAATCGTTGGAAGACTGACGTTGATAGCATATGTCATATTTAAGCTTGCAGAAATATTTATGTCACTTGTACAATTTGTTGTTGGTAGTTCATCATCTAAAAAAAAGTTGAAATAATAGTTTCTATTTATTAAAACATTTCATTATTGGAATTATTTATGACAAATTGTTAGTAGGCATTTATCAACATATAATTATTTACAATGTAAATTACGAACACGATATGCCCACCAGGTCATATCTCCAATGTGCAAATGCTAACACTTGGGATGTTATTCTTCGCCAAATGTTTTAATATTTTGTTTCAACTCAATAAAGCACAATATTTACACCCTATTTTAGGTCTTTAATCAGTTGTAACTTATTAAAGTTAAATACGTATTATTTCTTTAGTGGAAACAATATAAACATACCGATAACAGTGACTCTAAAAATGCACATAGCTGTATTTGCACTATTATCTGTAAAATTGTACATGACTGTATGCGGAGAGCCTGTGAGACTAAACATGCTTCCATTTGTATGTGTCTGATACGAAATCTCCACTGTGCCTGAGTTATCATATGCTGTTGGTTCTCGCCATGTTGCAATTGCATAATCTTTTCCAGTCTCCGTATTTACTTCAAAATCGCCAGGGCAGTATGTCACGTTTGGATCTTGTTCATCTGAAAATACATAACCGTGATAAAATACAATTGTTAACAGAATCAACATAACAATTGCTGGGGCAGATGCAGGGAGTGCATATGGTGTGATCGCACCCCGATAAATTGTATCAAGAAAAATAATTATTGTATTGTATTATGTTATTAATATGAACATAGTAGGTCTACAGGTAAGATGTCTAATGTATGAGAGTGCAATTTCCAGACACCTAACAGGTCCATATTCTAAAAATGTTTGCACCTCAGCCCAAACCATGGTGGCGCTGAGGTGATGTGGACTCCTGCGCATCTCCTACCGCCATTCCCAACCATGGTGGGGCTGAGGTGGTGTGGACTCTTACGCAACCCCTACCACCAAATTCTGCATCCGCCCCAGAGTTGTGAAATCTCTACCACTCTCTCCTCTCTTATGTCTTTCAATCTATTTCTTTCTCTCTTATTATCTCATATAAAATAAAACATCTACTGTACCTACCTGTAACAGTGACATAAAAACTGCAATTGTCTATGTTTCCTGATTGGTCAGTTGCTGTTATGAAATACCCCTGAATGCCTATACCAATTTGGTCTCCAGAATCGGGATCAGAAGTGGTGATTGTTGGTGGTAACCCATCATTATCCTCTGCGCTAACATTATATACAACAGTAGCATATAGCTGGTCGGGTTCAGTCGTGAGACTGAAATTGGACGAGCATGATATTATGGGATTTTCTTTGTCTGAAATGTGTAATAAAGCAAATTAGTGTCATTAGGTAGTAATAGTTGAATATTAGTAATAAGAATGTTATTTTCATTATGTAAATATTACAATAACTTCTCTTTTTTCTGTCGTATTCTTACCTTTAATTGTTACATTGAATATGCATGTTGCAGTATTGTTTGATTGATCAGTAAAGGTGTAGGTAACTTCAGTGATCCCAATACTGAATCCATCATATGGCTCATGTGTACTGACTGTTGAAAACCATCCATTATTATCACTTACAATTGGCAATTCCCAGCTAACATTTTGATACGGCAGACCAAAAGCTGTAGTATTTTCCAAACTTCCTGGGCAAAAACTTACATTGGGTGATTCGAAATCTTAAAATAAAATCAATTATTGTTTATTATGTAGAAATGCCATATCAGAACAAGAAAATACAAGCATTGAAAATGTACAAAAAAAGTAACATTGGGTCATTCGAGCTCTAAAAATAATAAAACAAAATTTGAATATTTTTATATAAAAATGACAGAAAATTGCAGTATTGTTTGATTGATCAGTAAAGGTGTAGGTAACTTCAGTGATCCCAATACTGAATCCATCATATGGCTCATGTGTACTGACTGTTGAAATTAAATTAAATGTAGAAATGCCATATCAGAACAAGAAAATACAAGCATTGAAAAGGTACAAAAAAAGTAACATTGGGTCATTCGAGCTCTAAAAATAATAAAACAAAATTTGAATATTTTTATATAAAAATGACAGAAAAAAATAATTAGAAAGACTGACAGACTAAAAATACAGTAGGCCCGCATATAATAAATCCAATTTCTGACTTCTAAAATTATCTTTTAACTGTGAAAGAACAAAATGTCTAGCAAAAAGTGTTGAATCAATAATAAGATAAGTTCACATAATTTTAATGCATGTTCGATTTTGTATTAAATTACCGTTAATAATAACTGTGAAAGAAAAATATGTCCAGCAAAAACTTGGTGATTCAGTGAATCAAAATCTTTGTAATACGTTAATATCATAAATGATAAAAATATAACTCAAAAAAGACTAGAAAACAAGAGCGATCACATACTGGTCCGCGTGTTAAACTAAGGTTATAGCTATTCATTTTTATTTTTGGGTGTAAAGGCTGTCTTCCAATAGACAAATTTATTCGGCAAGGGTTCAGAATTGCCATTAATTACTATCACTGACCGGATACATTGCATCAATGGTACGGTCGGTTAACGCTGTGTTGTAAGGAGCCAAAGGTTGTCAGTTAGAATCGCGCCTTAGTGTTTGACGTTTTTTTTTGTATAAATAAACATTTTGAGGTTAAAGGTTATTCATTTATTTGAGAGCTGTTTGAAAAAAAAAATTGGAAGAGTTAATAAGATAAATAAATAGAATGTTCCTTTGTACAAAATTAAAATGTCTTAAAATTAAGAAAATGAAATGTCAAAAAAAGAGGAAAATTTAATACCAAGGTCACAACCTTCGGTTCCCTACCACGCAGCGTTAACTGACCGCACCCTACACTCCACCTTCAAAACATTTATTAATTAACGTTGGTTAAAAATCCCCCCTAGTTTATGTATATCAAACTTCCTGCACGTCCGTTCATGCTGGTGACGCTGGACGCTTTCAAAGTTCTAGTAACAACACTAAGAACAACAGTGAGGTTCTAGGTTTGAAAATAATAGGATAAGTTCAAATAGCTCTAATGTAAGTTTTTGTTATAAATTACCGTTAACAGTAACTGTAAATGAACACGATGCCTGGTTGCCAGATTCGTCAGTAAAGTTGTATACAATTTCATGAATGCCAACTTTCAAATCTATTGGTTGCATTTGGTTAGTCACAATAACCTCTTGGAATGAATTGTCATTGTATGTTGGTGCTTGCCATGTAACCGAAGCATAATCGACGCCAGGAAATGTGTTCTCGCTTATATCATCAGAACAGTTGTAAGTAGGAGGTTCCATATCTAAGATTAAGTACATATATAAAGTTGGTCAGTCAAGTCGTATACAGTATGCATCATCGTAGATATTTATTGATTAGTTTATCATTTAATGCAATAGTTATACAAAATCTGTAAAACTTATTATGTAAACACTTACCAAGGACAGTAACGGTGAAATTGCATGTTCCTACATTTCCTGACTCGTCTGTCACTGTATAAATTACAGTTGTAACTCCAATGTAAAATGTATCTCCGCTATCATGCGTTGACTCTGTTACTAAAGATGCTTCATCTGTATTATCGCTGTAGGTAGGTTCTGTCCAGGTGACTGATGTCGAATTCACTGATGGATCTGTTTCATTTATTATAGCACTCGGGCAGTTCATAAAAACTGGGGATTCCTCGTCTACAAAATAATTATATCTTAAATAAATTATATTTTAAATACATACAAAAATCAAATGATAAACAAAATGAATGGCCCTAGGTGGTCTGACAGTGCAAATGCAGCTAATGAAAGAATAATTAGTACTGTTTTTTCTCTTCTTAGCTAGTTAGTTAATGAACGTGTAGCCGCTTAAAATACCAAGGTCTTTGTTTAGACTGAGTGTTAAGCCTTAAAACTAAATGCATCCCACAAATATTTTCTATCCTTGGTGGATTTATATCTATGGCCTATGATGAAAATTTCAGTTTTTAATTGTGTGGTCTGGCAATTTGAATGTTGAATAACAGTAGATGTCCTATTATTGTTCCGTTCTTGTATATGTATATTCAAATTAAAGTTTGCTGCGTACCACCGTAAACACAATAGAAACAAATAGACAAATAAACAGTGCTCAATCTTAATAATTGTATCCAGCATAGCTCATCAACGAAAAGTTCTTATATTTCAGTTGTATGAAAACAAGAGTCCTGCCCCAAGACACCTTTTCATTATACAGTAGATGATATAGTTTCAATATATTGATTAGAGAAATTAAAGGTGTGAATGTTTAAGATTTTTATAGTGATGTGATGATTACGTGATAAAGAATGTCGTCTTCTTGTTATTAAGCTTCAACTTGTGTTCAGTCATCCAAGATTGCAAATATTCTATGCATTCTCAGAGTCTATGTAAGGAGCGAATTGCATCAAATGCTGAATGTTATATCATCATAAATATGGTACTGAAAGCTTGGGGGCCCGGTCAAATGACAGACCCCTGATAAACACAAAATATAAAAATGAGAGTTCAAGAAAGAGGTACCGGTTTGAATTCAAACTCGAAGAAAGAACAGTTTAAAAATAAGACTGAAACCGGATATAGGCTAAATGTTCCCAATAAGTCAAAATCATTTTCTATGCAATGGTATGTTAGTATTGACAGGATGACAATTAAGAAATAGTCATTGACCACCAAATGCTCATATTGTCATACATAATCATCATCAGAAAAACAGTTTCTGTAAAAGACATCAATAATAACGTAAACAATTTGGTCATATGTAAACACAGTTTTATTTTTTAAAACAAATGGACCAAAGAGCAAACCTGTTAGAAAGGTGGTCTCTGTTAGTGGCCTCGATTATTTTCATCATTTTCACGAGCGTACAAAACGTACGCTGGGGTTGAAGGCATGGTACGCTTTTAAAAAAATACAAAAATAACGATTTGGAAATGTTAGCCTACGTTTTTGTACCTAGCCATTCCCCTAGAAATCCAAAGTTTACCGTTATAAATTCACTGGTAAAATCAATTGTTTATACACAGAGTCAACTTTACATCCCCATTAACGATGTATTGATAAGAATTGTGTACATAAACAATTTCAAAATACAAGGGAAATGTACTCTAACCAAAGGATCCACTGATTAATATACGTAAATAGAATATGAGTATGGCGACTCCGAAAAATGACAGACGTCAGGCCATAAATGTACTCTAGTTCCGTAACTGTAAGACAGTAGCCGACGAAACCACAGTGCCACAGCCTGACACAAAAGTAGGGTAACAGCATTGGGACCATGTGTTTCACAGTGCTGTGTGTGCTAAATAAAAGCCTACCTTATTTTCTTCTCCCTTCTTCTACTTCACTAGGCCTAATTCCTACCTTTTAAATTCAATGGGCCTAGGCCTACATCACTCACTGTATTTAACATTTCAAAACACAATTTATTATTTGATTCAATGGATACTCATGATGACATAAATTTTACGTGTTATATTTACTAAATACTGTACAACAACCCCACAAAAATTCAAGCCTGGTCCTATAGCCAGTGTGAAGTTGGCATTTATTACAAACAAATCACGCACGTGTGATAGTCAGGATTTCTTGTTTGGCGCCACCTAGAGGGGGTGCGGGGGAAAAAGTTATGAGAAGTGGAGGTGGCAAAAGTTTTTAAATCTACGAAACAATCATTTTTTTCATATTCATATTATACTGTAAGTAATCATACTATTGAACATGAGTTGAATATATAAATTAGAAATATCTAGTCTTATCTGACTCTACTGCTAATGCGTTTACAGTAGTTAGTAGACCGAATTAAGGCCAACTCAGACAGCGTCGGCCGCAGTGTGAGTTGAACGCAGACGCGATGATGTGCGTCGGGAACAGTCGCGTAGTAGAATATTAAACGTGTTTAATATTTCTCACGACGGCTTAAGACTGTCCCCGACGATAAATCGGGTCGGGCTGCGTCGGCCGACGCTGTCTGAGTTGGCCTTTAGTCGCCAAGGATGACGTCATCAAAATTCCAAAAGTAGTAGACTGTGATACATTCAGTATTTCTAAACTTTAAATATTCATATAATTTCATATCTTCATTTTATTAAAATAAAGTATATTGTAATATTTTGAACAAAATATATTACAGTTACATTTACCTCCTTACATGCTGGTTTGATGCGCATATTATCATCATCATTATCATTTTTTCTGCCCGTAGAATTCCATTATTATTAATCTGTTGACCATTCTTATCAAATTCATTTTTATATTATATAGTAAACAGGACCATTATTAAAAACAGACTATACATGTCTGGAATTTTATCCATTATCATAAATATTAGAAAATAGATAAATTTTAACTTATTTATCTAGAAGTGAATGACACAGCGTATTAACTAGGCTGTATGGCCTAGTCAAATGCTAATCACATTACTAAACTACTTAACTTGAAATTGTATACTCTTTTTCAACGTGGCGTCAAAATTACTTAAAACGAGCCCACTTGTTTTGCTTAGATATAGTATCTTTCATCATTGTACACAGACGTAAGTGTCTGTCTATGTGTGAACCAAGAAACGTGGATCTTTGCTTTGTGTTGTTTGGTTTTAACTTGTACATTTATAAAGGCCATAATTTTCCATTAAGTTTGAGGCAAATCCTAAAAGGGAAACGACTAAAATAAGTGTATCCCAGTGCAATACTCATGTAATAGACACAGTAATTTAAATTTCCTTACCTATAGGCCTATTCATTTGTAATCTTTTTTTTTTTTTTTTTGCCTTTCTTTTTTTTCCTTTGCAAAATACGCAGCCAATATAAAATTGGCGGATAATGAAACAGTGTCTTACCTATAATGTGAATTGCAAATGTGCATGTTGCTGTGTTTCCTGAACCGTCAGTTGCAATGTATGTGAGAATCCGAGGAGCTCCTAAGGTAAACGTATTGCCTGAAGCTGGATCGCCATCTGCTAATGTTACAGTTGGAACATCCTGGCTGTTATCTGTAGCAGTCGGTGTAATCCATGTTACTAGTCTTCCAACTGAACCTTGCTCAGCTGGCAGAGTTTGGTTGTCAGGGCAAGTAATCTCAGGATCTTCGATATCTAGAATTTATACAAACGTACATATTATTTTAAGTTTTGATAAATTATTATTATTAATATTATTATTTATTATTATTATTATTATTATTATTATTATTATTATTATTATTATTATTATTATTATTATTATTATTATTATTATTATTATTATTATTATTATTATTATATTTTAAGTTCTTCTTCTTCTTCCATTCTAGTACATACCACCAGTTGGTGTATTTTCCTACTGTGGTTTTGATAAATTATTATTATTATTAAAATTATTATTATTATTAAAATTATTTATTATTATTATTATTATTATTATCTTCATCATCATCATCATCATCATTATCATTATTATTATTATTATTATTATCATAATCATTATCATTATTATTATTATTATTATTATTATTGTTATTATTATTATTGTTATTATTATAATCATCATTATTATTATTGGAACTATTATTTTACACCGGTAGATAAGTGTAAAATTCTGAGGCATAGTAGTAAATAAAAGGAAAATTCAATGTAGTGGGCCGTGACATGGTGCATACCGACTACCCAAAGCATCTAAAAGAAGAAATAAATAATAAGTATAAAAGTAATATGAAAAACTTGCTATAAAAATATAGGCCAATTTTATATAACTCATGCAAACCAAGGCCTCTGCACACGAATTATTAATATTAATAATAATACTCTTCTAATGGTATAAAAGCATGCTTCCCAGGAGATGATATTACAGCGAGCTTATCGGCGCGTTGGCATTTGATCTAATTACACACCTGTATTACTGGATGCAGTGACACACCCCACTAACAATTACCATAATAAACCACAAAAGGACATAATATCGAAAATGAGAACAGAGTAGTAAAAAGAAAAATATGCCCTCATAACACAATTATGAGGGCGTATCGGATGATACACACAAGCTGAAGTG